GGCTCCCTTGAAGTCAACGGCAGAGCTCCTATTGACTTCAGCAGAGCCAAGATTTCATCCTTAGTATTTACTTTCATAGTGTCTCTTTTTAACTATGTTTCTAGTGAACCCCTTCCCTGCTGGAGAAATAGTCATGTATCATATATCCTAGCAGCACTTTTCCGAACAGCATCATTGTATTTGATTGCCATGTGTAACTGCCCAGTATGCTTTATTGTCTGCATTCATGTTTCTGGCGATAAATATGGAGCTGCTGCTGGTATCACTGCTGTGTCCGACCCTGTTTCACGGCATTACGTGTGTCATCCAGTATGCGTCTGGTTAATTCTGAGCCACAGAAAAAAGTAGAGTATCTTGTTGCTTTGATTCCTTGCGGGTGCCTGAATGGAGACTCTGGGAGTAGCATATAGCTATGAAAAGCCTTGTTTAGCACTTGCTTGGTGGAGAAGTGCCCAAGAGAGAGTTCAAGCTGGTTTCAGAGTGAGATGAAATGCAAAGCTGTGCACCAAATAAGAGGTCTGGGGAGAGTTATGGTCTCATGGGGGAGATGGGCTACGGGAAGGTGTTGGCACAGGGCAATGATCACTGTTTCTAAAGTTGGAGGCTTCCAGGGATTAGGATCTGGAGAGACTGTAGCACTGTGCTGAGTGTCTATTTGTGGGTTTGACATACTGCCGATCTTTGTGTTTGTTCCTTACTCTCTGTTTATCAGTTAGATATGTGTTTATTTTGTACTCGGCATTTTTTTTGGCTAGTGACTTGCTTTGGGATTTGTCTCCTCTGTCCTCACTGCCATGTGGGGTCAGCCCTTCTGGATGTTCACTTTAGTGCCATGCCACTGAGCACAGACAGACAAAGCATATTTTCCCTTGGCACGTGGCATTAGGATGAAATAATGAGATTCCCAAACTTCTTGGAAACTCTCTCTAAGCTGGTGGGCTACCTCCTCAGCTCAGGAAGGAACAAAAGCAGTGTCCATGTCTGTTTCAGACCCTTGCCTCGGGGGTGTAATTATCAGTTAAACAGAAAATTCGGATGTAACAAACAAATGCAGGTGGACATTCTCTTCCCTTACACCTCTCCTGCTGGGTCATGTGACAGGAAAAGTTCTTAGCCTCTTTCTGGGTGGTTTTGCCCCATGTTCTTATCATTTGGCTTTCCTTCCAGACTGTGCTAGGAGGGTAGTTAGCCACCCCTAAAGAAAGTGGGAAGAGCCTAGTAACTGGAGCTGCGAAATGTAACAAACAAATGCAGGTGGACATTCTCTTCCCTTACACCTCTCCTGCTGGGTCATGTGACAGGAAAAGTTCTTAGCCTCTTTCTGGGTGGTTTTGCCCCATGTTCTTATCATTTGGCTTTCCTTCCAGACTGTGCTAGGAGGGTAGTTAGCCACCCCTAAAGAAAGTGGGAAGAGCCTAGTAACTGGAGCTGCGAATTAATTTACTCCTGAGTAGTGTAGCCACCCCCCCCCCCCAGCAAATTCTGTTTTGCACACATTACGCATTTACCCTCAAAGCTATTTTAGAGCTGACACTTTGAAACACCATGGGGAGCATGGGGCTAGTGGGGAACTGCTTGAGTACCCTGCTGGACCTGTGCTCCCTGCAGCGCTGTTGCTACACTTTAAAGGTAGAGGCGCCCTTATCGACTAATCGAATAGTTGATGCAAATCGCATTGACTATTTGAATAGTCAGTTAATCTAAATTTAACATCCCTAGACCATGCACCATCTAGACGAGGGATGTGAATGGTTAACCAGTAAGTATCGCCCTTACTGGGTGGTGCTTACTGGTTATAGTTAAGGCAGCGGGGCTGTTGAGCCTGCAGCGGACGAGGAGTGCCTTGCCTGTGGTGGACCTGGTCCAGTGCGCCACAGGCAGGGGCATTTCAGCCTGGCCAGAGCAGCCCCTGTCTGCAGTGAGCCCGGCTCAGCTAGAGCAGTGCGCCATGCGTGGGGTCATTGCAATTTGGCCAGAGCAGCCCGTGTGTGTGTGTGGCAGGCCTAGACTGGCTGGAGCAGCATGGGCGGTTGCAGCGGACAGGAGGTAGGCGGGTCCTCCAGTTAATGGATTAAAGGGGATTTTACATCCCTAGTCTAGACCGGCTCAATCACTTTATGGCTTTTTGGGGTGGGATGGAAGGGGAATCAGCACCATCAAATTGCCTGACTATTGCAGCCATGGCAAGATGAATCGAATCCAGCCTGGGTCCTGAGGAGGATGCTTTTTCCAATGCACAGCTTGATGTTTCCCACTGTGGGGTATCTCTTCCCATTGCAGAAGCCGGAGTCAGACCGTGAGTTCTGAGACCAGCGTGGATGAAGGAGGCGTGTTCGAAGGTCTGAAGGCTGAAACTCCCTCTCCCCAGCAGCTTTTCTCGGGACTGGCAGGCATCCCATCTGGTACCCTTCCAGCTACCCCATTCCAGGCAGGCCTGGTCCTGGGTTCCTCAGCAGGAGGTGGGGATGTGTTCATTCAGATGCCAGCCCCAAGGGAAGAAGGGGCCAGCCGAACAGAAGGGGCTGCATTCCACCACCGGCAGCAGTCTCATCACTATCACCATGGCCACCATCGGGGGTCCTCTCTACTGCACATGGCCAGTGGAGACCGGCATGGGCATGCCGAAGACAGTCCTGAGGACCAGCCTGGGACTCCCGCCCCTGCCCTCTCAGAGTTGAAGGCTGTGATCTGCTGGCTCCAAAAAGGGCTTCCCTTCATCCTGATCCTCCTGGCCAAAGTGTGCTTTCAGCATACGCTTGGTAAGCAGCCGACTCTCCATCCTCGTTTGGCTCTTTGGTTGAGAGAGGGAGGCTCAGCAGCTGGGTTTGGTCGCAGTGTCCACTGTGTTCATTTCTGTACAATTTGTTCCAGGCAGAAAAGTCAGTGAGCAAAGGGGACCTGGGTGGTCAGGGTGAAGCTACCTGTCTTTAGCATCCTGCCTTTTCTTCCTCTTTAATCTCATTACTGGCTCTTACAGCTGAGCGCAAGCCTCATGTTTGATGTCCTTTCCTGTTGTGTGATCGACTCTGGTTCTGTTCCTTGTATATATTGTCTCTGTATATATTTGTTAGTCTCTGAGGTGCCACGGGACTACTCATTTTCCTCGTCTTGGCCTCTCTTTCTGTTCCTCTCCACTGGGGACTGAGGGGCCACGAGGAATCCTCATGGGAAGATGCATAGAGCCCTGAGCAGATACCAATTTTTTTATTTGCATCCGTCTCTGTATTCGAGATGTGAAGGACTAGTCAACTATCTGATAAGCAAATGCTTATTGGATAGTCAACAGGATAGTTGACTAGTTGCTCCCCCACACCTTGCTGCCTCTATCAGACAGAGTCTCGCCCCCCGCCCCCTGCTGCTTTTATCAGATAGAGACAGCAATGAAGGGGGAGGGACGGGAAGAAGCCATGATCAGCTGTGGACTCCCCAGCTGACCTTGGGCTCTGTGTGGTGCTACCGCTTTTGAAATGCTGCAGGGATCCCAGCATCAGTCATTTCAAAGTAGCACATGGAGCCCGGGATCAGCTGGGGACTCTGTGCAGTGCTGCCACTTTGAAACGCCGCCTCAGTATTTCAGAGCAGCAGCACCACATGTAGCCTGGGGTCAGCGAGTCCCCAGATGGCCCTGGGCTCCACGCGGCGCTTTTACTTTTTGAAGTGTAGCAACAGCCCTAGGGCTCTTGCTGCACTTCAAAGGTGGAGGCACCCTATCAACTAATCAAATAGTCCTGGGGTGACCAATCCATTTAACAAAGAGAGCCAAAACAGTGGTGGAAAAACTGCAAAGAGCTGCACCAGAATTGTCAAGCAAAAAACAAAAAAAGAAAGAAAAGGAGTCTGCCCCTTTAAGAAACAAGCTTAGGCTTTTGAGCCATATCAGGCTCCTGTCAATGGCCGCCATCTTGAGCACCATTTTGAATCGCCACTCCAGTGAGCACGGGGAAGGGGCAGAGTTCAATTAGTCAATTACCCGATTTTTAACATCCTTACTCTGTATTCATAATAGTGAGCTGCAGATATCCTCGAAAGATCTCAGACCACAATCTTCCTTTTAAACAGTAATTTATAGACAGAGTATGTGACTAGTGAATGTTTGTCTTTATGGAAGTGAGATATCACTCACTAGAGGAAGCCACAATATTCATGTTTATTCATGTGGACACACATTCCCAATAATACACATCAGTCTTTGTCTGCAGAACCTCAACCCTGTATCGCAACATAGCTTTGCCTGTGCCCCTCAGTCTTGCTCTACCAAACCAGCTGCTCTTCCAGTCTTCCCTCTTTTCCTATCTCTGTTAGTGCAACTCAGCCATGACCTGCAGTATCTTTCCTGAGTCTCCCATGAACAGAGGCTGCTGTTTGTTCAATATTGTAACATTCATATTAATTTTGCTTGTGAGCTGAACCCTGCTCTATAGAGCTCAGCGTTCAGTATGTTACCTGTCCCCCACTATCTGCTGCAATTACAGGTGTTGAGTTTGTGTTGTGTTGTTTTTAAACCTAAAGTGTGGAGTATTAAAAAAAAATAATAATGTGAATACTTCCTCCTCAGGCCAACAGCCCTTTGACAGGTGTCTTTCCTTGCAGGGATTGCTGTGTGCATTGGTATGGCCAGCACATTTGCATATGCTAACTCAACTCTCCGAGAACAGGTCTCATTGAAAGTGAGTACAATGATGTTCCAGAGCCTTTGCTCTTAATGTGCAAAATAATGCTGATCCCAGATCATCAGAGTATGCACAAATTCCTTTGCGTATATGAATGCTTTGTTCTCTACTTGCCTCCCACCACTGACCTGTTTTGCAAGAAGTCTGATTTAGCGGTTACAGATTGAAAAATCAGAACAGGTTTCAGTTCCTGTCCCTGCCACTGACTTGCACTGCAACTTCAAGCAACAGTTCTGGGCCTCAGTTTCCCCATATGTAAAAATGATAGTGATAATGCCCCTTTCACTAGGATGGTGGGAGGCTTAATTTATTAGCACTTTATGGAGTGCATGGAGATTAAAGATACTATTGAAGTATTATTTACTAATACTTACGTGTTATCTTGGTGTTCTGGCTGCATCTTAAATAAACCAGTTGGCCTCTTTAAGATACCATGGTTTTTAGTCACGTTGGAATTTTTGGATGTAAAAAAGGTTTAAAAATACTAATCACGTAAGTGTTAAAAATAATCGTGATTAGATCAGGCCTGGGCAAAATATGATCTCATAGTATGACCTCAGCCAGCTCCCTGTCTGCCTCGTTCCCACTCTGCGCTCAGTGAAGCTAGCTCCTGCAGAGCCAGGTGCTTCTATGAGTGTGAGAGCCTGGGGGTGGGGGCCGAGGCATCTCACAGTGCTTCCAGTGAAACGAGGAGTAACGGTAGTTTGGAATAGGAAGCCTAGTCCGAACTACCTAGTCCGTGCCACATGTAGCCGCGCGGCACGGAGTCTGCACTAGCGGACATTTAAAATTGGCGACGCCCAGCAAGATGCAAATGAAGCCTGGGAAATTCAAATCCCGGGCTTCATTTGCAACTCCGGTTGCCTACATTACCACCCTAGTTCGAACTAGGGTGGTAGTGTAGACATACCCTGAGATACCTCAACAGTATTGTACTGCAGGTTTTGGGCTGCATTAGCAGATAGAGAGAATGTAAGTGGCGTAAATATATAATTATACACATGTAGTAATGAAATAAATGTGACACAATGCAGACTGATGGGATAAATTGCACAACTCTGTATTAATTATCTTTAACTTGCAAATTTGGTTGCTAACCTTACCCTGCCCATTAATCCATTGCCTGAAGGCTCAAGGTAGCATTCCTCTGAACTGCTTCAAAGAGCCACCTTTTCAACTTGCTACAGAAATACTGCCTCATTTTCCCTCCCAGTTATGGACTTCTCAAAATTACACTGGTCCCAGGCTCAGAAGAGGCAACCTTCAGACTTTCACAAGTGCTGAGCTTAGGATCTAATATTCTGTAACATCCCCATCTTCAAGAATGTAGAATTTAGGCGACTGTTGGTTCTTTCATTGGTTCAGTTGGGTTTTTTTTTTTGTATTATAAACTAAGGGGCTACACCCACTGCTCACTACTCTCGCCAACTCCAGAGGGAGGGAGGGGGAGGGAGAGGGGGAGAGAGAGAGAAAATATGCTCTAAAACTTCCCTTTATCCAAACAGTATCCATCCATGCTCTGTGCAGGATTTTCTATATCTTACGCTGGTCTACATTAGAGTCTAGATAATAGCTCTTTTTAAAGCTACATGCTTAGAGGTGATAGGTCCAGTTATTAAATGTGTCCCCTTATTAGACCGTCCAGATCCTGCCTGTGGAAGCTTAACTTGTGGTAGAGAATATCAGCTACTATTCATCAAGTTGAGTGTAAGCATGCAGGATTTGCATATCCTGTTGAGGCATCCACCTTTGAAAACCAGGACCTCTGGGTCTGTCTGTTGCTTTCTGCCAATGTAAAACCCTTGATTTCAATGCAGTAACTCTGCTTGAGAAAGTACACGAGAGCAGATTCTTGTTTATGTCTGTACTGTGCTGCCTATTTTTATATCTCACTCCCATGTAAATAACTAATTACTGAATGCCTAGAAGTGTGTGTCTGTCCCCTGGGCTGGTCTCACATTTTTCAACAGTTCAAGGCGTGGCGCACAATATGCATGTTCCCTTTAGACTTTTGAATCTGTCTTGTCTGCCTCTTGTTTTTGCTCAGGAGAAGAGGTCAGTGCTGATTGTCTTCTGGATCCTGGCTTTCCTCCTGGGGAATACTTTATACTTGCTTTACACTTTCAACTCCCAGCAGCTGTACAACAGGTGGGTAAGTGGTAAATCCTACCTGGTGGAAAGCAGCAGTAATTGCCAGGGTGGAACAAAGCAAGCTTACCTCTACTCACCGTTTTAAGAGATAGAAGTGTAGTTCTGTGGAATCTGCCACCTCTGCAGAGGAGGAAAAACATGTGGGTCACTTCTTGCCCATGGAAGCTGGGATTGTGTATCGTGGTATAATTGAGATACAAAGAGCTCTGGGGCCGGAACCAGAAGGGAATGACATTCGTCTTCCCTTTCCACAAGAGATTCTTTCCTTGTGTATATCAGGCTTTTACCCTGCTACTAGAGATGGAGTTGAGTAATGACGTTTGGATTTGGAAACAGATGCAAATGTTCCCAGTATTTAGTGGTATTTGGATCTGTTGCACATAGAGGCTATAATGATTGGTTGGAGTAATACCCTTTACTGGACTTTCCAGCCATTCAGTTCACCCAAGTCTTCTCACAGTGGTTAACTCTTGAGACCTAACCCTAAATGTCTTGCCTGTAAGAGTTAAAACCATAGGACAGTGGGTCTTGGAGAGTTCCTAGGGATGCTAAGGAAGCAGGAAGTGAGTTGGCAGGAGGCCAGAAGAGCCAATGGAAACAGTGTGGGCTTTTGAATTGGAAGCAGTAGCCCTGCCTGTTACTGTCTTGTGTAACCAGAGCAGAGCTGGGAGACGCGAATTAAGCCAGGAAGCAAGGGATGGAGAATCCAGTGACATCCATGCCTAGGGAAGGACTAAATCTTGAAATTAATGATACATAAGTAGAACAGGGAATGTTTTGTTAGGTGTGATCAGATTATTTTCATTATTTTGGGGTTTGTTGGACTTCTCTGTGCTAACCCCTTTATGCTGTTACTTTCCAGACTGAATCCCAGGGATTTTTTTGGTTTTGTTGATAAAAAGAAATCACCTTTGTAATGCTATGTTCTGATTCCTGTGTCCTAGAAGGCAGGAGGTTCTGTGTGCATGTGCCTAAGACTATAAGTCCTACTACAGGATGAATATCTCTAGTGCGGCACCCTTGGGACCTGACTGGTGCCAAACCAGAGAATTTGCCAAAACACAGGAGGTCAGTATTGTCTAGCAGCATTGCCAATGCTTCCATTGCTTACTGGGCTCTTAGAACAGTCTTTCTCAAGGTGGCCTGCACCAGCTTGTTTACCTAAAGGATCTATAACTGTGGAGCCTCGCAGCTCCCATTGACTCCAGTTTGCTGTTTTCAGCCAATGAGAGCCATGGAAGTGGTGTGACCCGGCGAACCACTTTGAGAAACACTGTCTTAGAAGATAGGTAGGGGCAAATTAGAGCTAAAAACAGCACAGAACATTGAGAGCCAGGATTGGTGACTATACACAAACTTTATGGAACCGTGGGAAACTTGACCACACCCATGATAAGTGGACATCCAGATGACTAAAATCATGCCAGACCAAGATGGGCTTGCAGCTGTGCATCTTAGGGGGAACCTTATGCTAGTTCAGAGAGTGCCAGACTTCAGAGAGTCAACCTATACAAAGAGAAATTACCAATTTTTAAGCTGTTTCGAGAGGGAGAGATAAAGAGCTCGAGCGAAGGAATTTCCAAGGTTTCTCAAAGGGGTTTCAGCTTTTGGGTGTCAGCAGCAATACCAATGTAAGTCCAGGGAGTCTGTGACTGGGGGGAGTTTTTAAACACAAGCTTTTAGTGGTCGGGTATTTTAAAGTCTTCTTGCAGGCCCGTACCTTCTGCACTCAGAGTGTCAGAGTGGGGAACAGCCTTGAGAGGGGCCAGTCTCCAAAATTAGATATGGGGCTTAACTTCTCCAAAGCTGAGAGGTGTTAATAGCCACATTTGGGTCAATCTGTTATTACAATGATAAAGGAAGAATTAAATGCCCCAAATGGGAGAAGCTTTTGGCATTGGGCTAGATGAGTGTAACTGGGATAAATGGAGTGATAAAAGGGAAATGCTAGGAAAATTGGTCTGACAGTGAGAGCTGTTCCCCTCTGGAATTGTTTCCTAAGGCAAAATTGTGTAAGTCCCACTGACTGAGGCTTGGAACTTTGTATATTCTTGGTATCATTGGAACACGCCTTGTATCAAACAGTCTTGCAGCAAATGATCATCAATAGCTTAGATGACCTCATAGGTAGCCTTTCCATTTCTAATGGTGACAAGGCTGCGGTAATGGAACCATCTCTCCTCTGGAAAAAGTGCATACTGCCTGATAGAATGATTGCATGCTCAGAACTGTGGCACCCATCTGAATCTGCTTCTTTGATCCAAATTCATCCCTAACTGCGATTCACAATACCTGTGTCTTTCACTGTTGCTTGGAGGAAGGAGCATTTCCTTTGACCCCCAACACCTCTGAATTATTTCATTTTTAAAATTGCAACTTTCCTCTGGGGTTCTGACTGGGTATTTGAAGGGAAGAGGGTACTGCAGTGTGACTCAGCCTGGAAACAGATGAGTGTCAGGATGTTTGGGGAAAGCTGCAGCCCAGCCACTGGCAAGAGCACGGTTTGGGTCAGAGTGGAACGGGAGAAACCGATCAGGAGAATGCGCTGGAAAGGCTGCCCTAGTGGGTGGCTGGGATACAGAAGGCAGCAAGTAGGCTGGTAGGAGGCTCTGAGCAGCATGGATATCTGGACAGCAAGATAGGGGAGCTGATGAGGCCAGACAGATTTGGAAAGGAACAGCAGAAGTGGACTGGAAGAGAAGTAGATTAGTTCAAAGGGTTTCAGCCAAACAGGAGCATTATTTGTCTGGGGACCCGTGTGTAGATGCCAAAAGGGTTAAATATATTGAAAATGCTGACAAAGAGTTCCACACCAAGGCCTGATCTGCCAAGCAGCCCCATGCAGAGTCCTTTGACTTCAGCAATGCTCCACATGGATGGAGAGGTCTGTCTGTGAGGAGACCTTGGCTGCATTGGGGCTCAGAGTCCTATCCAGGCTTGTGAGGTTAGACATCGCCATTCACTTTTTGTCCCTTTCAGTTATTTTCATTTCCTGATTTTGCTGGGTTTTTTTATGTTTTCTTTTCCTAGCCCAGTAATATTTAAGCCTCTAATTTTGTTTCTGTTTTTAGGATTTAATTTTACCAGTTGTGCTGTGCCAATGTTGTGAGTATTTTAATTTCATGCCTAGGCTTTTTGTTTTGGGTTTTACTTATTGTTTAGTTTTTGCTTTTCACATGAGAGAGCTTAGTGGACTCATGGACTTAGTAATCATGAAAAGAAGCCCCTTTGTAGTGCTTAAGAAGGTCTTGATTTCATTGGTAATCCACACAGTGGTTTCCAATCATGAAGTACTGGCACCCTCACTTTTTCCTACTTAAGAAGCAAATAAAACTCAGTGCCTGCCCCAGTTACTGTGGGTGGCGGGAGGAGAAAAAGCAGAGGCATCTTTCTACTACTCTGTGAAGGCTATTCTTGCTCCATGACTGAAATCATGACTGTTGAGTTCTCAACTAGCGATGTGAGAGAGTAACCAGTTACCCGGTAAGAATCAGCCTTACCGGGTCATGTTTACTGGGTACCAGATAATTGGTACCTAGGGGCAGCCCCCTACCCACTGCAGGCAGAGGGCTGCTCCAGTCCTGCAGGGTTTGGGAGCTGTCTGCCCCATGCATGGGGGGGAGCAGCACATGGAAGCAGAAGTTGATCCCTCATGCTTTGGGCTGCCAGTTCCTTTTGCCGACAGTCCCATATGTGGGGGGAGGAGGAGGGCAGGGAGCAGATACCACTTAATCGGTTAACTGATCACACCTACGGTTTAAGCAGTTAGCCAACTAACTGGGATTTTACATCCCTATCCTCAACACATGTGTGGGGTCTAATCAAAGTGTGTAGACATTCTGACCCTTCCATGCTCAGGCCCTGTTCCTTCCTGTTCAGCTTGAGCTTCTGGGTGGAATGGCGCGCCTGGAGCACAGCGCCTGGAGCACAGCCCCTGGAAACCAGCCTTCTGTGTTTGTGTGACAGAACCATGCTGGTCCTGCTGCCCATGGAACCTTTGCAGCTGCAGGGCCTGCATACGGAGGCCTGCTGTGTCACTGCTCTCCACCTCCCATTAGTTGCTTGGAAGCTGTGACAGAGCTGGGACTGCCCTTTCCATAAGTTTGGAATACATAGACTTAAATAGGAGATACTATTAGGCTGTGTCCAGACTCAGGGGTTTTTTTGGGAAAAGTAGCCTTTTTCCGAAAAAACTTCACCTGTGTCTACACTGCAGCCGCGTTCTTTCGAAATTAAATCGAAAGAACGCGGCTTTTCTTTCGACGGCGGTAAACCTCATTCCACGAGGAAGAACGCCTTCTTTCGAAAGTGCTTCTTTCGAAAGAAGGCGTTCTTGAATGTAAATAGGGCTTCTTCGAAAGAGAGCATCCAGACTCGCGGCTTGCTCTTTCGAAAGTTCCGTGTGCAGTCTAGACGCTCTCTTTCGAAAGAGGCTTGCAGTCTAGACATAGCCTAAGTGTGCCTCCAAAGTCGGTGAGCCACCATCTCTGTGCAATCATCCCATGCCAAACAGGGATGTGAATGGTTACCTTACCGGGTGATGTGTACCGGGTAACCAGCGGGGGCCAGAGTAGCCCCTGCCCACAGTGGGCCTGACTTGGCTAGAGCAGGCCCTGACTGCCCAGCCATGCTGGGCCGGGGGTTGGGGGAAGTCTGGAGCAAACCCCCAAGACCCCATGTTTAATCGGTGGCTTTTACTTCCAGAAGGCTACGGTTATTTCGGAATAACACACTACACAGTTATTTCAGAATAAGCTATTCCAGAATAGTTATTCTGACATAGCTTATTTCAAAATAGCACGTCTACATTGCAGGAAAGCCTCATAATTAGTCCGAGGCAGGCTTCCCTAATGTAGATGTGCTATCTTGATTTAGAGCCCCAGGAGGAATAACTTAGAATGGCCCTGGTGAGGGGCTGTTTTGAAATAGCAGCAGTGGAGCATCGACACACACCCCTATTCCAAAATAACTATTTTGGAATAGGCATTATTCTTCATAGAATGAGGCTTACAGAAGTCGGAATAAGCCTCCTGTTATTTCAAAATTATTTTGAAATAACGGAATTGCTGTGTAGACGCTCGCATTGTTATTTCGTAATAACAGCCATTATTCCGAAAACAATTTTGCTGTGTAGACACACCCGAATCAATTTGAAGAAGGAAAATGTGGAGTGTCCCACCCCGCTCTGCCAGTGAAGTTTCTTTCATCAGCATGGAGTGTAGGAGCTAACTTCTACTGTTCCCTTTACTGAAAATGGGCAAGTCTGAAGCTATAGACTCAGTGGGGCTGGATAAGAGCAGGTTTGGTTGAAGGCCCAGTGGAACAGTGAGATTAATTTGTTGACTATGCTTCTGTGATACTTATTGTTATGAACCTGTGCTCATGTTTGGTGGGGTCTAAGAGCCCATTCTTTATACTGGGGCTTTGACGAAGGGCAGAGGATGTGACACTTGCTAATGTTTGGTTCTGACTGTCCTACTTTTTCAGCCTGATATTTCTGAAACCCAATCTGGAGAGCCTGGATTTCTTTGACCTGATGTGGACTGTGGGGATTGTGGACTTTGTGCTGAAGTACCTCACCATCTCTTTGAAATGCCTGGTCGTTGCCCTGCCAAAAATCATTCTTGCTGTCAAGGCAAAGGTAAAGGACTTCCACTTTCTTCCTAATCTTACCTGCTGAGAGCCAGCCAGTGAAACCATGCCTGTGATGTTAGATACAGATTCTGCTCGGTCCTTCTCTGGGTGTGCCACAGAAAGGGCATCTCCATCTCTCCAAACCTTTGCATGATTTGTGTAAGGACCAGACAGATTCCTATGTTCAAGATAAGCTGGGCGCTCTTGGCTGCCTCCCTTCTTATCTCCCATTGCCCCAAAAAGGGAAGGGAAGAGATGGGCTAAACGAAAGCTGACGATAATGGGTGAATATGAAGAACTGCCCCTTATTACAGACTATGAGCAATTTGTACTGTTTTGTCCAGGGGTTGGCAGATACCAGTCCACAGGTCAGATCTGGTTCCCCAGAGTTAGCCCCTGTAGGCTGCTATCACTATATTTATCTGCATCTCCACAGGTATGGGTGATTGCAGCTCCCATTGGCTGTGGATCGCCATTCCCGGCCAATGGGAGCTGTGGGCTGCAGCGTCCTGGTCCGTGGTGCTTCCCACAGCAGGAGTTCCATACCCATGGAGGTGCAAGTAAATATAGCAGGGGCAACTTGAAAAGGGCTGTTATATGGGTGCGAACGTGCATGGGTACAGCTTATTTTTGTAAGGGAAAGTGGAAAAGCTCCTTTACAGTGATATAATTGCACCCAAAGTAGGAGCGACAAACTATTTTGGGAGAACGTTTCAGTCCTAACATTCTATCAGTACAAAAACTATGTGTAGGCCACATCTGAGTATATGATGGTTTTCACTTCCTGTCCTAAGCTGTTGTGTGAAGTTTCCGTTCACTATTAAAGAGTTGTCATGTTTCCCTTGGCCCCGACCCTCCACCAGTGGTGAAAGTGGTAAGTACAGTATAGTGTGTAGATCAGTTAAACTTTGTAAAAAGACACTTTGGCAGCCTTTGACATAAAAGACACCATATAAATGCAAAATATTACTATCATCATCCCTCATTGAAAGTCTCGGGCAAAGCACTTAAAGGGAATTTTTAAACCGTGAATAGTTATGCTTAATAACATGGGTGGCAGGGGAGCTGAGCTGTTTGTTCCTGCTCACTCGGGGTACTCAAGATGGTTATTAATTTATCTTTGGCGATTGTCCAGTTCTTTTTTCTATTATTGTTATTATTTTATTTTGGGAGATTAATGTTCTGGGTCAGAGCATAATCCAGCCTGCAAAAAAAAGTGATGTGAATAGTCATTCCAAGATAAATTGCTATGCTGGAAAAGGTTCACAGCCTTTGCTTGCTTGTCTGAGCGCTATCCCAAGTACTCATTAATCCTTGTCGGGGGAGAAGAAAGAGACTTGGTCTTTATTTGCAGCTATAGTGGGAGGCTGGTAAGATCACATCTGTCAAGGGCCTATAATGGCTTGCAGCACAGATGCTTCATTTTTAATACCTTTTTCTGTACAGCGATATTTCTCCAGTTTTTAAGTCCTTTTTTGTCTTGAGATGTTGATGGTTTCTCTGTCCCTTGACATCTGAGGCTCTGTTGCTACCACTTAATCATGGCTCTTATAAACATGTGTGTGTTTACCCCCACTGTTCTCTCCATTAAGCCATCTGTGATCTGTTCTGATCTCGAAAACTAAGCAGGATCTGACCTGAATGGGAGACCTTGAAGAAGAACCCAGCACACTAGAGGAAGTGCCGTTAGTGATGGAGGACAGTGGTTTTTGCTGTGCTGACACCCCAGCTTAGATTTAGGGGGCCATGGGATGCTGGATTCGCCATTTTCTGAGGAGGACCCAAGCTCTTGATCATTTAGGAGCATTAAAGAACATATGGCACCTTAGGTGCATCAGCCTTCTGGTATGACTATACTGCAGCTGGGAACATGCCTTCCAGCCTGGGTAGATAGCTCAAGCGAAGCTAGTGTGTCCAGCACGCTAAAAAGGGATGTTGCAGTACAGATGTCTGCCCCCGTAGAAGCCTGCTTCCTTTCTCATATTGTGGGGGGTTTCATCTTTCTCTCCCCCTTTTTTATTACATTTTCGAAAAAGAGCAACAAAAATTGTTGATTAGCCACATGGGGAGGGGATGGGGGAGTCCTACAGACACCTGGGATTTCCTAAACGGCAATCTTTCAGTAACCGTGTCTTTCCTATTTATTTACTTTTAATTCTACACCCACCAAGCTGTCGTTTCTTAGCAGTGAAAATGAAAAGCTGCCATTTATAGATCTACAACAATGAAGGCCTTCACCGCCGCCTTTCCTGTGGAAATGAGGAGCCCAGCTGCTATTTAAATTTCTGCTGTGCTCCACTGGGCTTTTTTTACATGGAAAAAGAAGGCTTTTTAGCATGGTGTGTAGTTTTAGGCTTGATCTTGCTCCCATTAAAGTCCCCACTGGCTTCAAAGTTGCAGGATCAGACCGTGCTACACTGGGCTTTTTTTACATGGAAAAAGAAGGCTTTTTAGCATGGTGTGTAGTTTTAGGCTTGATCTTGCTCCCATTAAAGTCCCCACTGGCTTCAAAGTTGCAGGATCAGACCCTATGCCTGGACTTGCCACCCTTCCACTGCTCCAGTTAATCCAGTCCCCCTCTTTTCTCCCCCTTCCCCCTCTCCCCACACACGGCAGGGCCTTAGTTTTTCTCACAATTTGTGGCTTCAGTATTGGCCGGGATATGGTCTTGGAGACGCAGGAGTGTTCTTCTGTGTAACTCACGTTTCATGACTAAGATTTTTCCCCACTTGTCCACAGCAACACGGCTGGAAGAACAATGGTCTGTTCCTATAGCAGTGCTAGCCTGGGCCATCTGCTTTAGGGATGTTAAATATCGGTTAATTTAATAGTTGAGTAACCTCAGGAATTCTTATCGGTTAGCTGAATATTCTATAGTCCCCAGAGCGGGCCTGGCAGCCAATGCACTCCCTCCCCACTCCCGAGGAGTCTTCTGCCACTCTGCACAGGGTGCCAGGTGGGTGCTGGTCCACGAGGAGAGCCAGTTTCCTTGCAGACCAGCTTCCTGTCTCTCTGAGCCATTTTCAAAGGTGGCCATTGGTCTTGGTACCTCAGTTTTTTGACTTCACAACTTGAGATCTCTTGGGGCCTGATCTTCAGAAGTTTTGAGACCTGCAGCTCCCACTGACGAACCATAGGTGCAGTAAAGATTTGCTCACATTTACTGAGATTAAAAAAAAAGAACACCTCCCTCCCCCCTTTTTTGAATTATTAGCTTGAGCCCTGCATGGATCCAAAATTTTGTATTCATATCCACATCTGTATCTGAGGCAATGAGCACGAATATAAAGTGGATGTCTGCAAAGTTGCATGGTTCTAGATACTAATATGTATCCTCATCCATATCTGCAAAAGTGAGCTGGGGAGATCCATATCCACACATGTAGATACCCATGGATATAAAGCAGATATCTGTGGGTTTTCAGTGCTCTGTTCATCCTTTTCACCTGCCTTTAGATACTGGCAATAGTCCTTTCTTGTCATCCTCTCCAACATCCTCTCCTTTAGAACCTATCTCCCTGCTGTCCTGCGATCTGAAAGATTTCTCCTAGAGCAGTGGTTCTCAAAGTGTGAACCATCTTGCAAGTGGCTGCAGTCTTGGGGCTCATCCTCTCTCTCAGTGAGGCTCATCCTCACCTCCAGCCCTGCACCTCTTCTCCTTACTAGGTTGGAGCACCAGTGCTCAGGGGCAGATGAGAGCACCGCAGGACCTATCTCCCTGCTGTCCTGCGATCTGAAAGATTTCTCCTAGAGCAGTGGTTCTCAAAGTGTGAACCATCTTGCAAGTGGCTGCAGTCTTGGGGCTCATCCTCTCTCTCAGTGAGGCTCATCCTCACCTCCAGCCCTGCACCTCTTCTCCTTACTAGGTTGGAGCACCAGTGCTCAGGGGCAGATGAGAGCACCGCAGGGCCCCA